CGCCGCCTCTCCCGCTCCCGCTCCCGCTCCCTCTCTCACACACGCACGCACGCTTGCTCCCACTCTCGCTTTGCCCGGAGGTGCACCGGTAGCCGCTGAATGAGGGGGGAAAGTTAAGCGATTACACCAATATGAACCATCGCTGCTGGTAGCAGCGCCCTATCCAGAGCAGAATCCAGCGAGCACCCCTGCAGGAATGGAGTCGGTAAAACAAAGGATTTTGACCCCTGGCAAGGAGGGATTGAAGAATTTTGCTGGGAAATCCCTTGGTCAGCTCTACAGGTAAGACTGACATCTCTTACAGGACTCTACTTCCTAGAAATGATGGGAAGCTGTTCTTAACCGCCAGCTGCTGAAGGAGGGCGAGCGCTTTGGGGGGGTTAGCAGCGAGGGGCTGGGAGCTGCGGAGACACCGCCGGTGTAACCTGGCTCCTGGAAACTAGTGCTGAAGCTTCGCAATATGGCACCCTCGTAACTTCTCTATCTGATTCGTAGATGGTGCCAGTAAATATGTAGCGAAAGATTACCCCATCTTTCTCCCACAGAACCAGGATCCCATCTTGAAATCATCACCGGGAGAGAGCAGCTCCCTGTATTTTTGTACTGTCTTAATTTTGCAATGCAGTCACAGGATCTTTCCCCCTGCCTTTACCAATCATTAAATAATAATAATAATAATAATAATAATAATAATAATAATAATCTTAATCTTTCCTGGTTTCGATTAGTCTTGTCCCTTGTGTAATTTGTCGTCAGAGGAAGATAAACATGGAGATGTATAAATAATTGATATCCGAACGATTTTTTTTTTCCTCCTGAAGCTGAAACATATAGAGGGATGTGTTTAATTATTTATCCGTCTGCCTTGAGAAGCATCCCCTTGTCTTATAACTAATACACAACTGCAATTGCTACACTCAAAAGCATCACTCAACGGTATGTTTCTGTGTGTGCAGAACGTTTCTATCGTCTTCGAGCCCTGTACACACAGATAAACAAGCCCAAATTCTCCCATGCCTAAAAAGTGTATGCACTGAAGTTGACACATCGTGCTCCATCCGATCTGGCCACTTTAGTGACCTCCAGGACATTTGAGAATAGGCTGTGAAATTCCAATGTATTTTCGATCGTCCCCTCTGCCAGAAATCACCCCGAAGGTTTGGTTGATTGTTTTTTTGGCTTGGGTTTTTTGGTTTTTGGTTGTTTGGTTGTTTTTTTTTTTTTTTCCCCGATTTACAGATTAAAGGTAACTGCGGATTTATCTGCCTAGGGTAGGTCATGTAAAAGTCTTTTTTCCATACCTATGCGGCAGTGTTGGGCACAGGCACAAGGCTGTTCCACAGCATGAGTCACAACTTCTGCTGCCATTTTCAGGAAAGTGAAGTGATATAGACAAAATTAAGATCTCCACTTTGGTAAGGGGGTCATAGTTTTGAAAATCCGAAAGCAAAACCAAAGACATCAGCAACGCAGTGAATCTCCTACAGGTTTTGGTCATAATTAAGTAATTTTCAATGGTCGGAAAGAGAAATATTGAAAACCCAGAATAACTGTTCAAAATATAATTAAGTAATAAACTTCTTCCTCGCCCTAAAAGACTCCACAACATGTACATAAACCGATCGTGTCTACTGCTTTTTATATAGTCACTCAGTGAATAATGGAGAAACGGTGTTTGTGTTTTCCAGCAAAACTCCTTTTGAACTCCCCCCTCGATTAACAAATGCGCCATTTACTGATTTTTTTCAACGCACGGGACTGAACTATTTTGTTTCCGATTCTTAAAATTAAAATAGTTTTCCTGTCCCTCAAACCTCAGTGTCTCCCCGAAGACAAGAAGCCCGTTCAGGGAGAAGACACTTCTACATCATTCTTTATTCGCGCGAACGAATTTGGAACATAAAAATCCCGGCGGTTTATTTTGCTCACAACTTTCAGACATTCCTTAATGCTGCGGTCTTTAAGCATGGAAAGAATTCTTCCAGCAACGAAAAATCGGGGGGATTTCAGCTGAGTAACTACTGGAGAAAACCCCTGTAATTTCTCCAAACCACGGAGCAGCTTTTGAGCCTTATTCTGCGACTTGTTACAGCCCCCCGAGCCGGAGGAGTTAACCTCAAAGAGATGCTCCTCCGAGGAGAATTTTTGGCGTGAGAAAACTCTCCTAGAGCAGGGGTGAGGGCAGCGGTGGGAGAGTCCAGAGCGTCGGGAAATGGTCCCATAGTCGCTCCTCAACACGATGGAGCTGGGATGGAAGCGGTTAGGTTTTCTGTCTTTTAAATACCTCAGTGACTACAAAAGAAGATTAAGAGATTCAGCACGGGACGCTTGTTCGATAAACCCGATTTTTCTTACTACCGACACGGCGTTTTTAAAGCTTTTCCACTAAAGAAGGAATAAAATTAAGTGTTCTAAGTCACCTTTCGTGGATGGTGGGGGTGGGGGGATGTCAGTATTTTTCTGTTGATTCGAAATAGCTGCAAATAACCATTCCCTTTTAGATTCCTGCACGTTGTTTTCTAGGAGGTAGGATTCTCATGTGAAAACAAGGGAGTGGGGGCAATGAGATCGAGCTTAAAGCCGATCTGGGAAGGTTAAACCTGCTAAGCCATCACACGCTCAGAACGTGCAGATGCGATCTTTTGAAAATACTCCTCTGAAGATGCCAGCTCTCTAAAGACGGTCATGTTTTCTTCCACTGCATGTGACAGCCATTTTGCAAATCTAAAAAATAGAGTAGCAATATCCCTCCCGCCCCCCTCTTTCTGTTAATATTTCTTTTGTTCCCAGACCTGAAGCGAGATGCAGAGCAAGATCGTCCCCCTTGGCGTTTCTAATGCAGCAAGGAGGGAACAAAACCTTCTCCAAAAGCCTGTTTCGGTTTCCATACTATGCCTCTTGGGCTGCCCAACATGGCGCCTCTGCAGTGGTTACAGATGATGTCTTCTTACTGCGTCCTACATATTTAAGCAGAAGTCTTTAATGATAGATGAGCAGTTCTCAGCTAGAGCTCCTCCCTGGGCTGCTGCAGCGGGGTGGCGGGGGGAGCCGGGGATGACTAATCGTGACTCCCACAGGTCATTGCTAAAGAGCAGCTGAAGGTGAATGGAAAACAAGGAATAAATCCTCAAATCAATCGAAACGGAGGCAAAGGGGCGGGGGGAGCGGTGAACTTAAGCCTTCAGCTACCCGAAGGGGCTGTGCGTTCAGGCGGCCAGGGCTTGACTTTTCCTTCTTGTGCCGGGCAGAGTCCTAGAGAAGAGGCAGAAGCCCGGGGACACCATCGAGCTGACGGAAGATGGCAAGCCCGTGGAAATGCCCGAGAAGAAAGCCCCGCTGTGCGACTGTACCTGCTTCGGGCTGCCCCGGAGGTACATCATTGCCATCATGAGCGGACTGGGATTCTGCATTTCCTTCGGGATCCGATGTAACTTGGGAGTGGCCATCGTGGATATGGTCAATAACAGCACCATACACCGAGGAGGAAAAATTATCAAAGAGGTGGGAACCCTTCCCTCGTAGATCCCACGTCCTTCCAGTGCACCTCCCTGGCCAAGCCCCCGAGGCAGGCGGGGCGGGCTCTGCCCCCTGCCCGGCGTTGCCCCCGCTTCAGCCCGCGGTGCTGCCCCGCGCCTCCCGGCCCCGCCGCCGCCCTTGGCAGCACGGAAACCCCGTTCCTGAGTTGTTCTCGAACTATTTCTACCTATTTTTTCCTTTTCCGTTCCCAGCCCAAAGCCATTTTGAGGTATTAAATCGCGGGCAGATTTTTTTTTTGTCTCCCTTTGCACACAACCTCGAAAAACGCAGGTATCTCCGAAAATAAACGTAGGGGATGGGGGAAGGAGGGCGTCGACTAAAGCGGCTGCCGGCGGCTGCGCCGCGCTGGAACAGCGGCGGGGAGGTTGTGCGGGCATGTTTGAAAGCACCAGGGGGAAAGAATTTGTCTTGGTAAAAGGCGTTAAATGCTAAGACCCGTTCCAAAGCGAGTTACAGCGCAGTGAGAAAGAGGTGAATGCTAAACACAGAGGAGTGTTAAACATAACGCGTCCGGAGACAGCCAGAGCCCTGCGGCTTGCTCCTTGCCCAGGTAGGCGCTCGC